TCTGACTGCCAACGTTAATTGTCAAACACATAATAGTCTATGGACAAACAGTCACACAGGGTAGAGCTTTTTATTAGTTTGTGGGGTAGACACTGTCGCCTAAGAATTATAAATAGTTGCCAATTAAATAATTATTCACAGATTGACCTGTTGTATCGTATGCTAAGGTAAAAAAGTTTTTATTATATAAGTATTAAAATCTGAATTTTAACTAGCAACTATTTAGCTATCTATATTTTAATAGTATGCCAATAACAAGCTGAGCTAAATGAAAGCCAGTTATTTCAATATTACAGAGAGACACTTTAATTTTATTTAATGTAAGTATGTATATGTGCAGTTGAAAGCATAGAAAATACATTATAAAAAAAAAATACGGTCGAATCTAGACCACTGGACGACCACTAGTAATAATAATTTAAAACAATGTTTGTTGTTTATTAAAAAAAACCCATTTGCTTTCATTCGTTGCGAAATTCAGTTCATTGGATTCTCCCTCAGCTAGGTTGGAGAGACATGTGGTTACACATTAGTTGACATATCTTTTCTATTTTATTTATTTATCATTTCAAAATTGAATACAAAAACTTAAGTAAACTAACATTTATAAACCACAAAGGTTTGTAAATATTGATATCATCCACATTGATACTTCCATAAGGGTTTGGTTAAGGAAATAAATATATATGTAATATTACATTGTGTTGCAAATAGTTTTAAAATCAGAGTAAATTTATAATTTTGATAATTTAGGTAATTAAATAATTAAATGCTTGGTAACTTAATTTCCAAATGTCAATATCAGTGTTGAGTAGTAAGTAAGATATTAGTTTTGTCTTAATCTTTATATATATAAATTACGTGTCACATTGTTTGTCCGCGATGAACTCCTAAACTATTGAACTAATTTCAATGAAATTTTGCACACTGTGTGCAATTTGGTCCAACTTGAGAGATAGGATACTTTTTATCCCGATAAGTGACCTTCAATATTTTTTATTGCAAATTTAAGGATTTTTTTATAGGAAGGAGCGTCGGAAAGGGCAGAACAACGTCTGCCTGGCCAGCTAGTATACTGTAAATAATATTACTATTACGTAAACTAGAGGGTAAGTTCTTTATTAATCGGGAAACTAAATAAATAGCAGTATAAGTTTTCAGTAAGTTTTTCATTAAAGAATTGCTCTTTGAGGAAGCTATATTTAAATTGTGTATAAATGGGTAAAATTTCATATCATCTACAGCTGCGTCCAGCACATTATTTTTGGAAAATTGTTTTTTTTTCGTGAGAATCCGGCGAAGAATTCGCTCGGTTCAATTAAGCTTAGTTAAAGTGTGTTTGAAATTGAGCGGCTGGAATTAGTCCGAACAATTCCTCAGAGCACCTCCCCGTGGTAAGTTCGATAAAATACGCAAAGAAATGCAACATCTCTTCGCAGTGCCAGTGAGACATCCGATCGCCTAAGCCTCAGCAGAGCATCACCTTTCTGCCCCGCAGCGAAACTGACTCTCCAAAGGAGGCGGCTGTGCTGTTAAGAGCACAAAATGAAGGGCTCCATACCGAGCTCTGGAAAATTCTGCAGCGTAGGGACGAGGAGAATGGGTTCCTTGTAACCTTTCATCAGCGGAGGCTTTCCAGGCGGTAGGCAGCAGAATCATCCTTGACTTTAAGATGACAACTTTTAAGGTCAGAGGAGATTTTGACGCGGTAATGGAGCCTGAACCGCCCCAACTCTAATCCCCCCAGCCCTCCACCTCGCGGGGTGAGACTGCAAAGTCATCAGCGAGAGTGACTGAGACCCAAGGCGCTGATCTTGCCTCGGTCCGAGGGCCTCCACTGGTGTTGGCAATGGGTAAAAGGAAGGGTACCTTCTTTCCTATATTAGGGTTGGAGTTCTAGCTACGAAACCTATACACTACAACCAGCATGCTTACCGCAGAGGCAAATCTACGGAAACAGCCCTGATCAGTGTTATTGATAGGGTCTAAAAAGCGCTGGAGGATAAAAAATAGCTCTTTGTGCCTTTCTAGACATTGAGAGCTCCTTCGACAGTAGCCCTACATCACTGCTGTCACCACCATCAGGTGGGTCGTTGCTCTCAAACAGAAAGGCAAAAATAGCGCTGTTTCAAACTTCTATTGAGGTTGCAACTACAAGAGACTGTTCACAAGGAGGTGTTTTGTCACTCCTCCTTTGGAATCTTGCGGTTGACCAATTACAGAATAATTACAGGTTGCTATCTTGTACAAAGTTGTACAAGATGGCAGACTTTCGCATTGACATACTGGGTTATGCTGATGGCCTTGTGATCATTGCGAAGGGCTTTTGCCAAAGTACCTTATTATTAATCATACAAAGAGCCTTAAACACCATAAACAACTGGTGCAGGGATAACAGTTTATCAGTTAATGCTGATAAAACTGTTATAATACTCTTTACCAAAAAGAGACGGTTGGACAAATTAGCCACACTAAAACTTAATGGTAAAAAAGTACCATTCTCCACTGAATTTAAGTACGTGAGGGTAACAATCGACCAAAAACTAACGTGAAGCTCTTAACCTTAACCTTAGCAACGAATGTCATAAGGCTGAGTGAGTGAGTGAGTTGTGAGTTCTTAGCGGCCATCCTCCGCAGTCTACTTCACCTGAGGATGCCTCGCGTAGAGGCGAAACACGTGTCGTATTTTCGAGAGTTGTGAGTCGTGCCTAGTGTGGTGGTGCTGGGGATGGTAGTGCTGGGATTGACGGCGACGGGTATAGTACGCGCGATTGAGGGAGTTTGGGAGGTGAGGGAGGGTGGTAGGTTTAAAAGAGGGGAGTTTAAAACACTACACAAATAATTTAAAGCCAAACAGCGTCGATCTTATACTGACACACTTAACAGTTAATTTTTTTCTAACAGAAAATAAAAATAGTTTGTCTTGCTCTAACGTTTGTTTGTGCAATATTTTTGTTTCATCTCCCAAAAGTTACGAGTAGTGTTGCTATTGTCCGTTAAATCGTTCGAATGGCTATTCGTGAGATAAATCATAACTGAAAAATAGACAACCAATTTTATTCAATATTTGATCAACCAAATATTTTTTTCGTTAGGTATTAGTATTTTTGTCTGATTTGTCTGGTTTTACGTTTTAACCGCAATTAAATTTAGCAATAAAATTTTGTTTCTTATCTTTTTTAATATAATAGGTCTATGTTGAACCCTGTGGGATCCATATAACATTAAACGGTGATAGGGTCTTAGATATTATTCATGTTAGCCCAGAAAATGCACATTTTCTCATGCTTTGCAATGTCCTAAATTGTAGTGGATAGGGAAGATTAACGCAGGTTAAGATCCGATTCCACTCTGAGTGCTCTAGAAACGGTGAAGTAAAATGCTTTATACGTTTCGTGGTACGTCATGTGTATGGTGTAATCTAAATACGTGGTAGAGCCATGCTGCAGCTATATTAATTGTATAGTTATAGCACGAATGGGTCGGCTCGACCGGGAAAGGATGACGCTATCACAGAATACCAGCGTAAAATATCTGTCTATCTAATTGAATAAAAAATCTTTTTTGAATTAATGTGTTTTCAAAAAAATAAGAAACTTATGTGTTTTACTGTTAGCTCTGTATATTAAAGACGATAAATGATCTAAGTAAGATATACTCTATAAGTCCAAAAATTACTATTTTAAAGCTAAAAGTAACCCGAATAACCTACGACATCAGAACGCTACACAACCTGGTTCCTCCGTAACCGTACTAAATACCCGAAACATCGGGAATTCAAATTAAGTTTGAATTACAGCAAATCCGTTCTACAACATCAGAGGCCCGTGTAGCAGTTGACATTTACGGGCTAATAGACATGGACATCTTCTCGTCAGACATACCTCAAAACCTTAAAACGAAATTGTACAACCAGTGCGTGTTGCCAGTGATGACTTACGGAACTGAGACGTGGTCCTTCACTGCTGGCCGTATGAGGAAGCTCAAGGTCGCTCAGCGAGCTATGGAGAGGGCTATGCTCGGAGTTTCTCTGCGTGATAAACTTAGGAATGAGGATATCCGCAGTAGAACCAGAGTGACCGACATAGCCCAACGGATTAGTAAGCTGAAGTGGCAGTGGGCCGGCCATATAGCTCGAAGAACCGACAACCGATGGGGAAGAAAGGTTCTCGAGTGGCAGCCTCGTACCGGTAGGCGAAGTGTAGGGCGTCCCCCCACGAGATGGAGTGACGACCTGGTAAGACATGCAGGAAGTCGATGGATGCAGGTGGCTCAGGACCGTGCTTTGTGGCATTCTTTGGGGGAGGCCTATGTTCAGCAGTGGACTTGTGAAGGGCTGTAATGATGATGATGATGATGAGACATGGAAGTTTGATACAGTACCCTTTTTCTGCGAATGAGGATTTTATATATCAGTGTCAGCATATCATAATCATCATAAATACTCACGCCTGCAATCCAGAGGGGTAGGCAGAGACTACTGACTTTACTACTTGACACACATCTCTCGCCTCCTTTACATCCATATACCTACGCATACATGCTCGTCGTCGGTTAAGGATACTCTTAATCTGGCACATTTTCGATATATATCGGTCTCAGCATAATCAATTTAAAATTGGTGCTGCTACTCATCTCCGTGACTTATATTTTTTTAGGTTACTTTGCCATTCGTTACATTAGACCATTAGTTAACTTTTAGTAAAATCTACTACTGTGGGATGGAAATAATCTGAAGTATCTGCTGCATTATACTATACATATTATTGTAAATTTATTTCTTATATTTTCTGGGCAGTATCTAGATAAATATCACATATATCTGCGTAGGCGTAAAATACTTTTATATCCGTGAAAATTCTACAACGAACTGCATAATGAACATCATATAAAATTACCCTGTATGCATTAATTTCGTGATGATTCCAGTGCAAAGTACTCTTGAGAAATTTGCCTATTGTCTTTTCAAGGCCTTTTATAATATAATTATATAAACTTACCTTACGCCCTCCTCCTCCTCCCATCGGTGCTGGTGGCGGAGGTGTCGGATTTTGTGGTACAAATAGACTTTCAGTCCGTTTTGGTTGATAAGGTGACGGCGTTATTTCTTGTCCTAACGTCCGCTTTCGAAGTAACGTATCATCAAACGGTTGATGTTCTCTTGACGATGCACGTGAGATGGAGCCACGACCGGACGCCAAGTGACCATTGCCGGCAGGGGTTGCGGCCCGTGAGGGCGGCCGAGATGAAGGCATCGGCTGTGGTGCTACTGATCCAGCACGAGAGCCCCCACTAGGCGGCACTGCTTCCACTGACGGCTGCCGTGACCGCCTACCATAGCGATCAACGCTCGAGTCTCTACTGGGTGGTCTTTTATAATGGTCAAAGTAATCTATGGAGGGACGAGCGGCAAACTGACGAGGATCACGCTCCCCATTGATAGCGTCTTGTTCCGGTTGTACGTTTTGCTGTCGATATTGTTGTTGGTCTGACGACGGTTGGCGATACATTTGTGGATCTGGAGCTTGTCTATATCCCTGTTGGTCGAGAGGTTGTTGTTGGTAAGGCTGAGGATCATCTGTTTGACGAAAACCTTGTGAATCTGTAGCAGTTCTTTGCGGATCATGAGATCCATCTGAACGAAAAACTCCGGTACGAAATTCATTTCGACCGTACGATGCAGCACCGGCGTCAGTGTATGTATTGCTTTGAGGATCGTAAGTTGGCTGTCCGAGTATACTTTGTCGTCGAGAAACTCCTTGAGAACTCCATTCTTGTGGCGCAGGCCTTTGATTCATAACCGGTCTTACAGAAGGTCTACGATTTTGGTTTACAAATTGTTGATGGTTTTGATCTATACTCTGATGTGCTTGTATAGATTCTTGTCTGCGATATGGCATTGACGCCTGTTGCTGAGCACTTGGTTGATTGTGACTATATCCACCCATAGATTCATTTGGCATATTATAAGACTTTTGTTTGTCCTGTATCTGACCGGGTGAATTATTTGATGATGTCCAATTATCTTGGTTAGGATTATAATAAGGATCATATGTAGAGCCATGTGTCCTGTCATCGGTACCAAAATGAATACTGTTTGGAATTCGTGGGTCCAATGGTGGCGCTACTTTTGGATACTGAGATGAAGGCCTTCTTGAAGAAATTGCATTAGGAATTTTATTGCCTTGAGGGAGCTGCGAATGCATCGGAGGGATATGATTTGGAATGCTCTTTCCTTCCAAGATCTTTTCAGATTCTTGTGATTCTGGTCCGGGTATTTGGGTTTCATACACTTTTTGTCTGTATCGGTCTCTTAATCCTATTCTATCAAATCCGGGGTGTTTAAAATCTGGCGCAAACTGCTTCGCAGTTTTTTGTGCTATATCACAGTCTTCCTTTGCTTGGTCTGCCGCTTCGTCTGCTTGCTCTGCCTTGCCCCGAGCGGTAGCAGTTCTGAAATACAATAATGAATTTAATGAGCTACTTTGTTTACTTGATACAAGAATAAGCTTTTAACGATTTATTCTTGTCGCGCTGTGCCCGATCGCCCTAGCTAAGCAATGAAAAAACAACTGTAGCTAAGACTGATTATACCTATGAAAAATTGACATATCATAATCTGATGCTCTAGATTTGGAGAAGGGCACAGAGGCATACTATGTCCTTCTGCAAAACTGGACCATTTTTAAGCCTAAGTTTGTTCTTTGTTATGACTGGTTCATTTTAGTAATTTAAAATGTTACTATTTTTTAACTAAGTTCAAAAAATGAGAAGGTTCTATTGGTGGCGCGTATGTTTTAATGTATGTTTATCTCGAAAACGTCTTAACTGTTTTAAATAATATTTAAAAAGTTTTAAATAAAATTTAATATTTAGGTTTTACATTAGTGATGTTGCCATATTCATTTTTAGAAAAAAATCCTAAGGGTGGAAAATAGGGTATGGAATTTTTATTTTATATTTTTTCTTTCTCTTTGTTCTTCTTATATTCCTTAGTTCACTTAAAGGGGAACAAAAATTAACTTTTAATTAAAAGTAAAAACTGACTTCATAAATTAAAAAAGAATAAAACAATTTCCACATAATTACTTCTGAATTCGGATCTTTAACTTTGCTATACACTATGCGTTAGCACTGAGTGGAAACATTGACTTATATTAAAATTAGACAAAGAATTTAGTTTGTAATTTTTATAAAAAGTGTAATTATTAAAATAATTAATATATTAAAATAAAATCCAAATAGGAAATGGTGGATATAGTTTATATCGTATAAAAATATTAAGAAAGTGATCCTAAGTGTTGTTTTTACTATAAATTATGTAAGTACCTATATTTTAGAAACATTCATTTATACAAAAAATTCTAATTTCATGTGTATATCTTTGTTTATAATTTATTTTAAAAGTTTTACGTTACTATGGGTAAATCCTATCTTGGTAAGTAAGCTCTGTGTTTCAGAGTGCTGTCAACTTGTCTGAGTTTGAATTTGAATCCTTGAGAAGCGAGATTCTTCTTCTTAATAACTGACTTTACGGCTCTGGGATCTAGCCCTTCTGAGCCTGAAGTTACAATATATTATACTAATTATCCTTCATAGTATACTGCTTCACAATATGTTGATGCGTCACATTGTGCAGCCCTTGGGAGATTTTGACGGCAACTTGAGCCAGCCGACAGCTGACGATTGGCGATGGTATCTCAAGGCGCCTAAGCAGACAGACACCTTATTTTGAGAATCACATCACCATCAGAGCACTTGTTTTACAGTTTCCACTAATAGTTCACATGCGCAGACACTTAATACACAAAATCGCACCACTTTTACATATCAAAGTCCACTTCAAACCATTATTTAAACAATAATACAAGAGCAGCAAACCGCCGCCGGTCAAGTTCCCGCCAAAACCCCTGAGAAGCGAGACACGTGTCGTATACACAGAGTAGGAAAACAAATTGGAATTTCTACTCTATTTTGTTTGTTAATTGATTTGATAAAGAAAAACAAATATTTGTATAAATTAAATCTGTTTTAAGGACATACTTAGTATCGAGTTTATTATGTCAGTAGTTAACTTATATGAATAAAAAATAATTTAATTTATAGGCTGTAATGGTATATCATATCATATTCACTAGGAACTTTCCTTTAAATTAAATTAATTTAGTTTGTAATTTTTAAAGTATTAATTTTAATTGATATTTATTTGAGATTTTAGTTTTAAATAAATTAAAAACTGTAAAAATTCCACTTGTGTATCCATTTTGAAAGTTGCTTTAAGAGTTTTAGGTGCCTATTTTTATTTAACCGTGTTTTGAACAAATAAATCTTATAAATAAATAAATTATAACAATAAGCCAATATTTAATACAAACCTAGAAATTGCAATATCGGCCTTTTGTAAAGCTATTTTTGAAGCCCGTTGTGCTGCATTTACTGCTGAGTCAACGCGTTCTCGGAATTTTGCAGAACGCATGAGGAACATGTGTTTACGCTTCTGACTGGTGATGAGTACGTTGTTCTTGTATTTGCCTTCTTCTTTGGTTCCATCTCGGAAAGTTGTAACTCCATATCCGTACTTTCTGTTAGCAAGCCACTCTCCCTCGTAGCGCAGGCCATCACTCCGTTCACAGACACCAAACCCGGTGCGCTTATCATTTTTCCATTCACCCATATAAGTTTCAGTTACACTCGGGTCCAAGTGCTCATCCTGGAAACGTATTAAATAATCTTAAATTCAAAACGAAATGGAATAACTTTTTTAGTATTGTACTTAAATGACCTGTAATTGATAATTGAAAATAAAGTGCGTATCATCCCCTTCCCTTTAATATGCCTCCTGAGGACCATATGAGTCATATTAAATAGTGGACAGGTGCCAATGCGTATATCATTTTTAACCGTTCGAAAATGATAAAATGGCTTCTTCTGCGGTCGGAGGAAACTCATTTTGAAACAGTAGTAGATTTAAAATTGACATTTGACAATTAATTACTAACGATATGACGAATACATAAAGATATGATTTTACTTTACTTCGAATAAAAAACTCTAACAAACACTTTAAATTACGTGTCATATTGTTTGTCCGCGATGAACTCCTAAACAACTGAACTGATTTTAATGAAATTGATCCTCAATATTTTTTATTGCGAATTTAAATATTTTTTTTAATACTAAATGTCATTTGAAATGGCAGAAGGCGTCTGCCTGGCCAGCTAGTACTGGTATATTTAAATATGTATATATCTTTATATATAAAAATTAACTGTCACATTGTTTGTCCGCGATGAACTCCTAAACTACTGTACTGATTTCAAAGAAATTTTTTAGACTGTACAGTTTGGTCCAACTTGAGAGATAGGATAATTTTTATCGCGATAAGTGACCCGCAATATTTTTTATTACAAAGTTAAAGATTTTTGTATAGGACAAAGGGTCGGAGAGGGCAGAACATATATACATATTATATAGTTTAAGGTTTTTTTGCATATCGACATATTGTAAATCCGTGTTGCATATAGCTCTACGTAAGGTAAGGTGTAGCTATAGAAGAAATTCAAAGAACGTGCTATTCTTTTAATATTTACAAATGATACTGAAAAATCTTTATTGATTGTTCACAAGCACCATTTACAAGTACAAGTACAAACACATATTAATGTAAAGGAAAAAATAAGAACAATAATAAAACAAAATGCTTTCTACTTTCCACTTACATAAAGACAGTGTATGCGAAGACCAAGATTATAATATTTATAATTTATGAGAAGGCCAAAGGTTAGTCAGCCCTGCATAACTACTATTCAGGTAGCGCTATTTTTCAGCTGACACCTTTTTTTTTTTCATTCAATTATCACTTTACAAAAAAAAATGATACAAACATGTAAATGGCGTTGATAAAAACCACTGCGGTTTGTCGTCAGTGCCAGATCCACATCAAACAACCATATTTTATATTAACCTTAAAAAATAATTATTATGAAACGAAATAAAAGTGTGTGTCACGGACAAAAAGGATACACTTTATTTATCTTATTTTTTAAAATTTTTCGTTTATCGTTTATTCACAGTAAATCACGTTTATGAACTTATTACTTGTTGTAAGTATAACTTTTGGACGTTATTGATTGATATTTTTTATGTAAGACATAATACTTTGAAAATGTTTACCTCTACGATAAAGCTAATTTTCAGCTGACACCTTTTTTCATTCAATTATCACTTTACAATAAAATTGATATAAACATGTAAATGGCGTTGATAAAAACCACTGCGGTTAGTCGTCAGTGCCTGATCCACATCAAACAACCATATTTTATATTAACCTTAAAAAATAATTATTATGAAACGAAATAAAAGTGTGTGTCACGGACAAAAAGGATACACTTTATTTATCTTATTTTTTAAAATTTTTCGTTTATCGTTTATTCACAGTAAATTACGTTTACGAACTTATTACTTGTTGTAAGTATAACTTTTGGACGTTATTGATTGATATTTTTTATGTAAGACATAATACTTTGAAAATGTTTACCTCTACGATAAAGCTGGTGTTGGAGTGTGTATTGTGGGAACCGCGCGTGTTGGTGGAATGTGAGCTCTCCACGGAGGAGACCCACGAGGAAGCCGACCCCGCTGAGCCGCCCGACCGTACCGAGCTAGTGCCCCGTTTGTCCAGCTCCCCAGTACTGCGGCGCTTCCGAAAGTTCTACAATCAAACCGATATATTTAAAAATAAATGTTTTCTTGTTTTTTAAACGTAGTTTAATTTTTTTTTCTCTTATCTTTTAAAGATCCTCTATCCTCTGGACTAACGAGGTAGTCACTATAGATAGTTTTATATACCATTTTGTTCAGAAAGAAAACTAAAGCTGGCAAATTATTCCAAACTTTATATTTTTATACGACTTCAAAAAAGAAGGAGATTTTCATTTCGACTGTATGTTTTTGTATGTATATTACGGTAAAAAATTGTCGATTGGGAACTAATTTTAACAATTCTTTTTTTATAATTAGATCGTACTTCAGGGGTGGTCTCATATAAATTACATGAAATTTTCATTTAGTAAAAAAATTAGGGGATGAAGTTTTTAATATAATTATTTAAACGACATTCTAATTCTAGTTGTTCTCCTTATCATGTGATATTCCTTAGTTCACTCAAAAGGGTAAAAATTAAACTTTTGATAAAAATTTAAAGGTAAATGCTGATCAAGAACAGGCAAAAATTAGGAAAAATGACTACTAACAAGTTAATCAAGATTTACAGGTCATTAGGGGTCAATGTTCCGTCGTATTCTACGTTTCCATCGGTTTCAAACGTGAAAAAATATTTACTATAAATGGACACGAGCTCGTAGCAAGCGTACTACGAGCGCGCTACGACAGCATTGACTGGAGAAATGGTAAAAAAGTGAAAAAAAAGTTTTAGCACAACGTCGCGTCACGGCACTTTTTTCGACAAAACGTTTGCATAAAATTAAAATGCTTACATGAAGGCTTGGAGATGAAAAAGTATCCTCGCGTTACCCAGAATGCTTACCAATGCGTAGAAATAAACCAGATTAAGTTTTCCCACGGTTTTGGAACTGTTGGAACAAGATTCTGATCTTTTTTAGCTCGATCTATAATAATGGACGAAGTGTGGCTTCACCATTACGATTTTGCAACAAACAAAGTGTGATCGTGGTCTTTTCCAAGTCTTCTGAATATGTAACATGCATAAAACACAAACATTTTTATCTCGTGGTTATCGTTTAAGTCTACAGGGGATGGGAGCAGCATCCTAGCACACTTCAATAAAAATTAAAAAGTGTGATTTTCAACCCGGCTAGTTAATTGTGAGTTGTGACAATCATATTCCTTTAAAATCTTCCCTTCTATTTTTACAGACATTACTTAAATTAAATGTTTCTGAAACATCGATTCATATATTTCACAAACTATAAAACTTACGGGGAATAGCCCCTTTTTAGTTTTTTCCGCCAAGGAGCCGCGTCGCCCAGCTGGTTCATCGGAACTCTTTTGAAGTACGAAACCACCTCGGGCGTCGTCCACTCGTAAGTTTCGTCTGTCGGAGGGATCCGGTGTGCCGACCGCCTCCACGAGCGACGACAATGAGCCGCGGGTGTCCCGCGCGCCCCCGCGGTAATGTGACGCCAACCCGAACGGCGCTGACGTCCGCACACCGTAGCCGTGCCTGTGACCTCGCATCCATTGTCCTTGGTATGTACCTGAAAGGAAGTGGTAAAAGATATAAATATAGAAGAAAAAAACGGACAAGTGCGAGTAAGACTTATGCGCTGAGAATTTTTGTATAAACTTTATTGTGTATGTGGAGTTCATGCATCCCGTAACCATAGGTAAAGTAAGCACTCAATATTGCTTAAATTTACTTTATTAACTAAGTACAGTGTTAAATTAACTTAAATTTACGTCCCACTGCTGAGCATAGATCTCCTCTCATTTCTGAGAGGGTTTCAGACCGAGAAAAAGTCCGCCGCGCAATGAGTGTTGGATGGATTTCACATATCTCTCAGATATATAGATTTTCTCACGATGTTTTTTTTACCGGCGAGCACATTGCAAAATTGCAATTAACAATTTCATTGCGGGGTCGAACCCGGGTTGTTTGCATACCTATTGTGAAATTCACAGCGAGCGCTTAGCTCCTCAGCTTTCACGGATCTTAAGTTTCTTAAGTTATTTAGATAAATTAATTATTAATCAACCAGTTTTACAAGGCCCTTCGTGACTCTTAAGTATCTGACAAATCTCTTAACTTTTGCGTATGACAGAATAAATAATAACAATCTAGATATGTGAAATAATTATTCCATATTATGTTACGCGAACACTACACAATGAGTGAAATTAGTTAAAACTTTATAGTGGTCACGAGGCGGCTCTGGTGCTGTAAAGTACTCGAAACGTCGGGTAATATGAAATAAGTTAATTAACATGATGAAATCTGTATGAACTAGTTTTATTCAATCTGTGAAATAGCACAAAATGTGAACAGCAAATACTCGTATACGTGCGCTGCTGAGCACAGGTCTTACGAGAGAGTTTATTAGTAGTTAGTACGCTAAATTAAAGGTATTGAAGGACTTCACCTTTCTTGTAAACATTTTAAATTTCTCAGACATGCAGGTTTCGTCAAGATGTTTTCCATCATCAGCGATAACATGGTAAATCAATACTCGGTACTTATTATTACAATTAACCGTTTTATTGTTGCTGGCAGGTGTCAGATCGATGGATCGCGTTCTATAAAAATTTAATGCCATCGCTTACTTCTTTAGTAATCACGGCTCTTATCTTTTACGTGATACTATGGGTATGTTAGGTCAATGCAAACAGGACGAAAGGAAAATCTTCATAACCTTGAATAACGCATATGACCAGCAGTGCACTATTTGTGGCCTGATACTGGGCGGAATCGTGATATAATAGGTAATCAAATTGTCAGTGTCTTTTGTTGTACTAAAAAATTGAATAACGAGTCAAAAGAATCTTGATTAGTGCGAAAACACAATTCAGCAATATATTTATAGAAACAGTATTCGGCAATGTAATTTTTGATAAATAGGATAAAAATATAAGACAAATTACTGATCAAAAAGACAATGGTAACAACATCATATATTTCGCGCAGAGGAGTAATTATGATACCAAATTAGAAATCACTAATTTATGGGTCAGTGTAATGAATGTAAAGACTTTTTTTGTAGTCGAATAAAATAAGCGGTGGACGCGATTGTGTGTCGAGGCGGCGCGCGTCGGGCGTTCCTGCGCTATATTTAGTCGTGAGGGCCGCGGCGCGGGGCGGGCTGCAGGGCCACCTCGCACTCATCTTTCAGCCACTAAACTGCTGAAAAATCCTTATCCCCCATAGAATATTGAAAACGAACCGATGCAAATGTATTTTTGAATTCAAAACTTGTCAGAGTACGGGTTCATCATTGCGAATGACGAATACATTTAATCAGAACAATGTTAAAGGAAATGAATCAAGCAACATTTTTTCAGTTTTCATGAATGACAAATCTTATTGCGGTCGTGACTCAACTATTGGCGTCAAAAGTTACGTGACGTTGTTTTATGGTACTCGTATTGCAGAAGGGATCAATCGTTTCGTAGATTTGTGCTGTGATATATGAATGCACATGCGTCTTTATGACGGTGATTTTCCATACAAATGGAGAATACAATATTTGTAAGATACAAGTATGTAGTACAAAATAAAATACGATAGTAAATAATTTAATTGTTAGAGCTACACACAAATACCGTATTATGGAGGTATGCTATGAGGCATAACAAGTGCGCCTACAGTGCGGTGTTTGAATATTCGTTTTATTTTCCAACAGCAAACATTGTGCAAGCTGTAAGGGTTTCTTTTTAGTATACGCAATGTGGGTTATTAGGTAATATTCACGAGTATTTATAAGAAATTTTGAATTTATGATTCACACATTTGAGGTTTTATTTCTGAAATATGAACTGAAAGTTCTTTACTGGCGTACTGTACACATTTAATCACATGCCAGTATACGTTAAAATTTCAGTGGTTTTTATTTAAAGTTGTCTGCTATAATAATTCCATGGTCATTTGGATTAAATGTTTTCACTGAATTCTTACAGTTTGGCAACGAGAAAGATCGTACTAACCGCCATCTGCGTATGTTTCCGAGCCGTATCCGTCTTGATATCCATTCGCCCATGTGCCCTCGTATTTTGCGTTGCTGGTGGTGCTTTGACGAACACCATAACGTCCCTTGCACCCCTGTGTCCATTCACCACGATACAGCCACCGATCCCGTGTCTCCACGCCCAAACCGTGCCTCTTGCCGTTCTGCCATTGTCCCTCGTACGAGCTGCCGCTGTAACATAATAAATGAAACTAAAATGACAAGTTCTTAAAAAATGGCGTTTTTAGGGTTCCGTAGTTAAACAACAAGGAACCCTTATAGTTTCGCCTTATCCGTGCGTCTGTCAGTCCGCGGTTTTTCTCAGAGACCCTAGGTGCTACAAAGCTGTAATTTGGCTTAGTTTATAGATTAATAGAATCTGGCGTTAGTTTGCGGAAATCCATTATATTAAACTTAATAGAACTTAATTTGATTGTTTCCGTGTAATGAAATAAAATGATGTGTCCTGCCTAGTTTGAAGAGCACCTCCCGCCCTCCCTCAATTGCGTGCACTATCCTCGTCACCAATCCCAGCAAAACCATCCCAGCACCACCACTGTGTGTCTTTCCTAGTGTGGTGGCATTGGGAATGCCACCACACTAGGAAAGACACACCACCGTCTATAATACAACACGTGTTTCGACTCTACACGAGCCGTCCTCAGATGAAGTAGACTGCGATGGCTGACCGCTAAGAACTGACTTACAAGTTAACGAGGATTAGTCGACCAACTTATAAAATACACTTGGATTAGTAAAAATGTCGTTACAATTCTATAGAAAATGAGCTAAAACTAGCTGCATATAACTTTGTAATGTCATTGTAAACTGTAAAAAAATAAACATTTTTGAAGAAAACGACTTATGCATTACTACTATAACTTTACTTTTTCCTTTGAGGGGTAGGCCGAGAGGATTGATCGCCAAGAGACCGCTCCTGACATGTCACTTTTGCTTATTTTTTAATTTGTAGTTATTAAAGGCCCACAATTTGCAGTGGTGGTTTACGGGAAGGTTAGTTACAGTCATGTATATCTTAGGGTTGCACTGCCGGAAACTAATAGACGAATAGGGCAGGTGAATGATTTGATGTATTATTTTCAAAATCAAAAAGTTTTTTCTTTTTTTTATAATAACATTAACTGTATGAATACGAGGAATTTAATGACAAGATCATGGCAAGTACTACGTATCTAATATACTTCTAATTACATACAAACAAAACTACTTTTGCAAAACAAAATCTCATGCTGCTTCAATTCTTAAATTTTCCAGCTTATTTACCTATCAAGCATTTAAAATTTAAAAATGAACGTAGTCATTATACTGCTATTTTGTATAATAGTTTACAAATGTATTATTTTCTTGACTTAGTCTTACGTAACGTGAGGTTTTAAAACTGCCAAGGGTCTTGACCTGGCAAAGCCTTTTATGTCGCTCTATTTCTTTTATCTCGGACTCCTTAAAAATGTTGGTAATTAACATAAAAAAATTGTACAATATGACAAGTTTTATTTCTAGGCTTAAGATAACTATGCTACTCATTCAATGTTCAGACATTTTAATTATTAAAGTTTTAGTGTCAAATAAAACTTTACTTAAGATTATGTAAGTTTTATCATAGTTAAATATAGGTGGTAGAGCCATACTGCAACGATTTATGGCTGTAGCACGAATGGGTTGTTTCTACCGGTGATAAACCACGCTGTAATAGCATAATATTACTGTATTTCATATGGTGGTGATGATAAATGAGAAGAACCAGATACCCTTTAACTGTTACCGAGGCACTCTACCTTAGTTCTTACGGGTGAGGATAGATGTAAGTGTCCTTGGGGGTCATTTAGACAAATTAGCATGAGGTTTTTTTTTAATTATCTATATTTAAAAAGGCTTTTATCCTACAAGGATATGTCAACCTTATCGTAACCTAACTTATTCGTGTTACACAAATGCTATTTAGAAAGGGGGAATCAATGTGGTAAGAATATGGAAATGAATGATTTTACTACCACTGAGTGTGGATCCGCAAGTATACTCAAAAACCAACCCGTTTCACTCAAATTGATATTAAATTTTTGCACCAGATTCTCCCTTTCCCTTTGATATTTGACATATTCTGCTAGCATATGTTGAACATGTTCTATAATATGACAAATATCGCAATATAGAATAAAATAATAAAATAATAGGTTGACTGTGTACTTGTTTGTCACCCTTAATTAAAAAAAAACAACGCTTCGTATATCGCTACCGTTGATTTAACTAAAAAAAAAATGTTATTATCTTTAAATTTAATTTAGGCGTTAATTCATTCGACGTCTGTTGTAAATATAATTTTAAAGTAATGAGCGGTTAATTATTAAATTAACTATATTAATAATCATGAAACTCAGAAAAATATCAAGCTCAACGCTTGCAACTAAATACAGATGTACAGATCAAACATCATCTCCCTGAAACGCGCTTTTTTGATAAAGTAACTAGAAACCAATCCAGCTATTGTAAATAATTTAAGAAAAATAAAAAGCGTTCATAAGTTCCTCATTTCTTATAAAATCTTGCTCTACGCATCGTTGCGGTGATGAATAAAATATGAACAGACAAACATTTTCACTCAAACATGAAACGTTATGTGCAATGCTTATTGAAAATTTAATACATATTCAATACTCGCGAGTCCATGGTGGTGTTAACCAAGATAATCAAAGACTTTATTTTACGAACTTTAATTTTTTTTTTATTCAAAGTTTTTCGTATAAAATATAGTCTAGATCACTCCTGGCATTGCTCTCTATCTGCTCGTGTTGAAGTTTAAGTTTCATTACAATCGGTTCAGCCATTCCAAATATTAGCCCGGACGGACAGACAAAAATTTAAATAATTATTCACGTTTTAATAGCATGGAAATAACCCCCCCAGTTCAAAACATGACAATTATTTCGATATTACAGACAGATACTTCAATTTTATTTATTTATATATATGTATAGATTGTATCTAAGAACGTTATATTATATGCCACGTTGTGTTATTATCTACTTAATTCTTGAATAATATCAACAATATGTTACAAATATTCGCTTTACAAGATGCTTATGCTCAATTCAATTTTCGTAGCACCTATACCTGTTTCTACATTTTAATGCTTTACATATTAATCATCGGCTTGACCATTTAAAAAAAATATGATTTCTTTTTAAATGGTCAAGCCGTTTAGGAGGAGAAGAATTAAGACACACACACGCACACCGGTATTCTATATTTAAATAAGGTCTTTGTAGAACAATTAAATGTACTTTCACCTGAAAAGAAAAACAAAATTGATAATTAGGAAGAAAAAAAGTTGTGTTATACTAATAAATGGAGTTCCTTCTATTAATGATTTACTGTCGACTTCGTCCACGTATAATTTATTACGGTTGGATTTCACGGGTTTTGATATTTTTGCGCGGAACCCTAAATGTTTTTCAAAAATAAAAGTAGCTTACGTTACTCCTTACTACTGCCAGTGAAATCCCAGTCAAAATTGTGCAAGTTATTTCGGAGATTAGCCTGAACAAACAGACAGACAGACAGACCGACAGACAAAAAATTTTAAATTGTTCCTTTTGTTAATAATACGAGATATATACTTTCATATGGATTTAGTAAAAAGATATTATTTCGACATTACATACAGACACTAAAATTTTATTTATTTGTATATGTAGATTATACTTTTCCAGTATTTTAATTGGTGACGCAGTGAGAATTCAAACTACTTTTCACAGTTGAGTTAAGCTTGTCGTAGTTGACCTAGACACGATAATGACGACGTGTTTCGTTTTAGCTCGCAAAAAATGAAGTTTTGTACACAAGGAAATTACTACTGAAATTTATGTATTTTTAAGTTATTTCTTTACTCTTGTCTTGAGTCAATTGGATCTAACTATTTCTCTATATACCAATTATTCTTAAATCTCTTTATGCAGGGTTACTATGCAATAACCGGCCAAATTGGCAGAAAAGGTTCAGATAAGTAATATAGGGAAATGGTGAAGAAAAATTAATTTGAAAAAAATCTCAAACATTCTGTCCTTTTTATCTTTTAAATTCAAAATGCGTGGTAACTAATTTTACCGCGCACTCACGCATTCGTATTCGCCCATAAATCACCTTCAATTTTGGGTAATTTCAAATAAAAGTCGAAGACTTATTTACTGGTTTTTTTTTTAAAGTGTAAGAACGGTAGGATTATCATTATTTTTATATTTCAACCTAAGTTTAAAATTTGGCTACTCTTTGAAAAATAACCCTTTATACCTCGTTGGAAATAATAGGTATGTAAAAAAATAACATATTTGTGGTACGCAGGATTTTTGAAATATTTTAACTTTTTTAGATAATATTACAACAGAAATTTACACAAACTTTATGAAAAACAAATGAACTTTCAACACGATGCAAATAAAATATCTTCATAAGCTTATTTTCATATAAGTAGTTAACAAAATGTATGAATAAAAATAGTTATAAATATACATATGTATTTGTTTGTTAAATAAGCTTTATTGTTTGAAAACAGTATTTTGAAATACAAATGTTTTTAGAAAGTATAACGACGAAAAATCCAACTATTCATCTAACTATAAACATTCTACGAGAATATGAAGTTCAGATTCTGTGCGATAGAAGTATTGTAAGCTGTAAAAAAAATCATAAATCAGTGAATTTCGTCTGTATACGTGTACATACGAATTCTAATGCACAATAAATTAAATCTGTGTCTGGTCACGCAAAAGGTATTAGTTAGGCATCTTAGGCATACGTTGTTCAGAATGTATTCATCTATATCTTTCATAACAGTTAGGATAGAAGCAGGGAATGTTTCTTTTTAGAGCTGACCATTGCGTAGATATACTGTTTTATTTTCTTCATTCTTATGTACTTCGTACTGTTCATGTAGTTTAGAAACATTCATATGATTACTATTTGTTTTTTAATTCATTACAGCCTATCAAACGTACACAACATAGGCAAATTTCCAAACGCAGTTATTATTTTCAGTTGTTATCAGAATGATGCTGCTGCCCATTTTCTACATCAGTTTTCTGTGTGAACTCTCACGAAACCCTTGGGATAATATGTCTATATTGTAACATAATATCTGAATTGTAATTAAAAATTGCATATAATATCCATGTTATAAA